CTGACGTCTAGTCTCTATGGACATTGGTTATATAGGGTGTCCCTGTATGTCCAGACACGCCTGGGCTGAGTTCCTCCTACTTGTGCTTCCCACGACACTGGGGATGACAGGTGCACCCCACTTTACTTAGCCACGCTTCCCACAGCTGGGTTACTCATCAAGCATCCTCCAGCCCAGTCATTAGCTGAAATGGAGTCTCTTGAACAGAAATCCCTCAGTCTCTACAGCTTAAGGATGAAGGACTACAGGGTTGAGCTACCATGCCTGGCCTGACATTGGTATATATGAGATGAACATCTTTGAGGAACTTGAGCAATACTGTTTAATTTCTTTAAAAAAAAAAAAAGAGATTTTTCAGTACTAGGGATCCCTTTAATCTTTGTTTTTGTTTTGTATGGTACTGGGGCTTGAACTCAGCGCCTGTGCAATGTCCCTTGCTTTTGTTTTGTCTTGTTTTGCTTTGCTTTGCTCAAGGCTAGCGCTCTACCACTTGAGTCACAGTCCCACTTCTACCTTTTTGATAAGCACCTCAAAGACTTTCCTGCTTGGACAGTTTCAAACCTAGATCCTCTGATCTCAGCCACCTGAATAGCTAATTCTTGTTATTTTTATCCTTGGATTGGGGCTCCCATGTTTTCTGTGCTTTATACAGAATCTGAGGACCTCCACCAGACGAAGATTTTGTTTTGAACCACTAAAATTAGATTAATGATCACCTACCATACCAGCAGGAAAAAAGAACCTTCAACGTTATTTTCAAGCTTGACGAGAAGAGAACTAAACACGCAATGTCTCAGCTCAAATGGGGAGGGGAGGGGAGGCTCTCCCCAGCAAAGCCCAAGAATGTCACACAGGGTCACAGAAGCGTCATTTGTGAACTTTACTCAAGGCAAACAGCCTAGAATACCCCTTGTAGCATTTCCAGACAATCAGAAGGCACCAAAGGAATCCATCTGAACACTTGGGTGTTTCCAGGTGGTTGAAAATGCAAGGAATTCGGCGCTTCTGCAATTTTCCCTAGTAATCGGGTCAGGCATTTGACAATGGAGGTGGCAACAAATTGTTTTTCCCCCTTCCCGCCCTGCCAATTACCCCAGCCCATGGCATTCCTCTGTCCACACAGGCCACAGCTGCTTAATCTCGGCCGCCCTGGGCTGCACCTGTGAATCAGACCCGCCTAATCACACTAGCAGATGGCAGAGGCCAAGTAGCCAGTTAAGAACTGCTATCACTTTAAATAGCGTCTAATATTTCAGAGGCACCAAACAGAGGCACCATCCGACAGCGGTGTCTGCCTGGGACAGCTAACCCCAGCCCTTAATCATCCCACAGCATCCATTTCAGGGACAGACTTGGTGTCATTTGAGAGCTAATTACCAAAAGCCCTGGCTGGTTGCAAGGCAAAACCCTGGCAAAAGCTCCGCTGGCCAGGGGAGGATGGACCCGGGCTCGTGTACCCGGCTGCTCCAGGTGGCAGCGACAGTCAGGCCAAGGCCACAGCAGCTTTCCACCCCCGTCCCCACCCCAAGGCCCACCCAGCAGCATCACAAGGAGAGTCTGTGTGCTCGGCCTGCTCATGACGTAACCTAGAGGTGCTGTTACATTTGAGGGCATCACGTGGACTCTTGAAGGGTCAGCAGGGCTCCTGACCACCAGGAGAAAGGATTCTTCAGTAGGCCAGCCAATCACAGCTGCTAGAACCCAATGTCCCAATCAATGTCCCCATGGCACCTGCGCACAGTATGACCTCCAAGCTGGCAACAAGTGTCCCAGCATCCTCACCCCGCCCCATCGTGACCCCATGTCCCCGCACTTGCCCCCTTGGGTTACTGAGTCACTGTCCAGATCAATACATCAAAGACTGACTGCTCTCTTTTTGTCTCTCTGGGTTATTGGTGGCCTCGACTGAGCCCAGAGGCCACCACGCAAGTCCCCAACATCACCACCTCCAGCCTCATGAGAGCCGAAGAATGGTGGAAGTGTGGGTATTTTATTATTAAACAGCCCTTGAGAAGGAGGGGACCAATCACACCTTTAGACACGTCCCATCTGCACAAATGAGACTGTTAATGGGGAACTAATCCCTCTTTCACTGTGTCCCCAAGCGGTTGTCACACTTCAGTGTGTTTCTAAACCTCTACAGAGTTTCTAACTCGGGGAGGTCCCAGACTCTGCCTTTCTAAGGCTGCCAGTCAGAGACGGCAGTTTGAGAACCATGGCCCTAAGTTTCCTCTAGCTACTTAAACCAAACTATTTTCCTTTTCTGCTCACGCTTATGCTTTTGGGAGACTCGGGGACAAAGTCACGTACCACGTCTATCCCAGATCAGATGCCTAACACCTATTTCTTCCTTTAAGAAGCCCCAGGCTAGGCTAGGCCAGGTGCTAGTGATTCATGCCTGTAATCCTAGCTACTCAGGAGGCTGAGATCTGAAGATCAAGGTTCAAAGCCAAGCCTGGAAAGAAAAGTCAGTGAGACTCTTATGTCCTATTAATCACCAAAATGGCAGATGTAGAGGTGTGGCTCAAGTGGTAGAGTGCCAACTCTGAGTGAAAAAGCTAAGGGACAGCACCCAGGCCCTGAATTCCAGCTTCAGTACCAACATATGCATATGCGCGCGCACGCGCGCGCACACACACACACACACACACACGCCCTAGGTTGAATAGCCCTTTTCAACAAAGAGTTCCAGAACTGGAGAACAAAAAGCCAAAAACAAAAATAAATCTAGACAGAAATGTTCTACAATTAACTTGAAATAGATCCCAATTGTGATTTAATATAAAACACAAAGGAGATACACCTAGATAGATACGACCAGGTTTTGAGTTTCAGAATGCCACACCAAAGGCACAATCCATGGCTGGATTGATAAGACAGACTTTACAGGAACTAATGGCTTGTTCCTCTGTGAAATATATTACCAAAAGAAGACTGGGAGAAGTATTTGCAAAATAAATAAATAATAATAAACTATTGTCCCAAATACACAAAGTACTCTCAAATTTAACAATATGAAAACAAACAACCCAATTAAAAAGTGAACCAAAAACCCTGACACCTCTTCAACAAAGAAGATGTACACCTGGTAATTAAGCAAATAAAAAGATGTTTCACATCATATGTCATGAAGGAAATGCAAATTAAAACAAGAAACCTCTACACACCTACTAGAATGGCCAAAAGCCAGAACACTGACAATACCAGAGGCCTCTGAGCACAGAGAGCAACAGGAGCTCTCCTTCCTGGCTGATGGCTACAGCACGTCCTACAATGTGAACACCCTTACTATATCCTCCCACTATCACACCACCGTGTACCTACCCAAAAGAGCTGAAAACTCACCTCCAAACAAAACCTACACACAGAGGTTCATGGCAGCTGCCAAAACATGGAACCAACCAAGGTGCTCACGAGTACAGAATGGGTAAGTAGACCAGGGGAGACACACACACACACACACACACACACACACACACACACTATGCAATATTATTCAGCGCTGAAAAGCAAGCACTCTCAGATGTGAGAGACACATTAGAAACTTCATTGCATATGACTTGATGCAAGAAGCCAATCTAAAAAGGCTACTCAGAGGAAGATTCTGGAAAAGGCAAAACTACAAAGAGGGTTCAGAAGTTCAGTGGTGGCCCACAGTTATGGGGCAGAAGAGAAAAATGAGTACATGGCCCAACAGAGGGATTTCGGGCTGTGAAACTACTTGGTAAGATTCTACTATGGCAGACAACATCATCATCTCTTGGTTCAAACCAACAGGGTGGCCAACACCAAGAGAAAGGCCTAATGCCAACCCTGTCTGTACTTCAGCTACAACGCTCTGCCAATGCAGGCTCGTCAGTTCTCACCAATGTACCACCCTCACGGGGATGTGAACAACAGAAGGAGCTGTGCACGTGCGGTTACAAGAAAGAGGAAGAAATCCTTGTATTTTCCTCTTCATATTGCTGAGAACCTTTAGCAGCTCTAGAAACACTCCACTTTGGAAGCTACAGTCTTATTTTATAAGTAGCTGTCTTATTGTTTAGGCCTCCTCTCATTCATTGGTGAAATTCCTTTTGAGAAAGTGTAGACTACACCATGTGAGCAAAAACCAGCGGCCGTCAGTCGGAAATCATTCTAGCTATGTCGTTATAGAATGTACCTAACGCTGGATTTGATTACTTTATCTTACTGATGCCCGTTCTAGACTCCAAACTCAGGGCCTCTGCAGGCTGACTTGTTCGCAGCAGGTGCTCCCCACACTTGACCACACCTCTTGCTCTGCTTTTTTTGCTGGTTATTTTGGAGTGGGGTGTCTCACAGACTTTTCTGCCTTGCTGAGTTCAAACTGTGATCCTCCAGACCACAGCCCCCTAAACCAAGAAGATTAATGGCATGGACCACTGGCGCTCAGCTTAGATTTTATTTTCTTTATGCAACAAACATTCACAAATGCTCTTCCCAGTGCTGCACAAATAGACCCCATTTTACTCTTATAACAACTCAGAAAATATCAATGTTAGTACCACGTGACAGCTTAAGAAATAGAAGCACAGAAGTTAAATGAGCAGCTGTGAAGTGGTGAAGTAACTCCAACTGCAGAGGGGATTCACACTCTTATCCACTGTCACCACTTCGGTCCCCTTTCCCAAAGCTGTCTTCAAAGTGAAGGTCACCGGCCCCCTCCCATGTTTCCTCTATGCAGTGTGGGTTCACATCTCTCAATGTGAGAAACCAAAAGGAAAAGGAAATCCAAGGACAGAACGGAGCGATTGCTTTGAAAAAAAGAATTACTGACGAGAAGAAAGGACAAGCAGCAGAGAAGGGTGGACAGCAAACTGGTTTATTCTCAGGTTGGAAAGTTGGGGCAGCAGAGAGGGTGGGAAAACAGCAAAGGACGGGACACAACTCGGTGGTGCCCAGAAGTTGACAGAGGTGACAGATAGGACTCCCCTCCACACTCCTGTCGTGGGGACCTTCAGAAGCAGGCGGTTACTTACTTTTGTTGTTACTATTGTCACTGACAAAGTCTTCAGAGCCATCGGTGTCGTCTTCATCATCTCCAGATGAGATGGTATCTATACACAAAAGAACATATCCATGACTGTGTGCACAAAGCCAGGGGGCGGAGCCATCTATACCAGGGGGTGGGGCATCTGCAGCAGGGGGCGGGGCTGTCTACACTAGAGCACTTCTGCAGAGTATAGCATCAGCCCACAGGCGCCCCAGGATGGCTTTAGTTTAAGATGGTTTCTAGGGGCTTCATGTGTCTTTGTTGACAGTTGGTCTCTCATGACTCAGTGTATTCCACTTCCACATTATTTAAGCATACGATAACATTGGATGGACAGACTGGAACGGAATTTTGAGCTTCATACAGTCTTCAAGTCCCTGACAAATTTACTGACTGTGTGATCCCCAAAGATTTTTTTTCTTCCTGTCAACATAACTTTTTTGGCCTCTAGGAGCTCCCTCCAAAGAAAATAATTTGTCCCTAACAAAACTCAGCCCCTGTGTGGCCCTTGTGATGGTTAATGAACACTCTGACAGCAGAATTAAACTTGGGCACAAGAGGGGAGGGGGCCTGTCGGTCCCCCTAACTGCCGGGAGAGCCAAGGAGAGAAACACAGTCTTTTAATAAAAGAATTAAAAATCTGGAATTTCAATCCTATATTCTAAATACCAGAGACTGTCAAGTAGCAGAGGAGAGTGAAGCAGGGGAGACAGATTCTGTTTTTACCTCCAAAGTGTGCTCTCTTAAGAAGAAAATGCTTCTTTGGCACCTGAGATCTCTGTTACTTGTAATGACTAGCCTGTTTCGTGTGCCAGGTCTCAGGAAAGAATTGCAAAAATACCCCATCAGCCAGGTATGGTGGCACACACCTGTAGTCCCAGCACCAAGGTGGAGTCTGAGGCAGGAGGATCACTTGAACCCGGGAATTCGAGAGCAACCCAAACAACAATGTGATCCCTCTACCCTGGTCTCCACAAATTAATCAATAATAATAAACTAATATCTGTAGCCCTGACGGCCAATTCACAGATCACACCTTGATTCAACTCGGCAAAAATAAATAAATAAAGTGGCTACAGAGAAGAGAGAGCCGGGCGCTGAGAGGCCAACTCACCTGTGACATTCACCATGAAGTACCAAGATCCACTGTCTACAGTCCTAGCTGCAGTACAAGCATAGAGGCCGGAGTCTCTAGGCGTGGCGCCTTTTATCTGCAAGTACTCCCCAATAAGCACTGTCCTATTGTTGGGCCCCAAGTGTACCCCATCCTTAGTCCAACTGATCACGGCGGCATCTTTCAACGGGCAGCGTAACTCTAGAGACTCCCCTGGCGCAGCCACGTAAACTTCTGCTTGAGAGGTTTGGTATTTGGATGGTGTCTCTGCAGAGAGGTGGGAGAGAAGACAGAGACAGATGGGAAGGAGGGAGAGGAGAGAATGTCCAACAAAGGTCAGTGGAGGCCCATCCATCCCCCGGAGAAGCTGTTCTTGCTTTGCAAATGGCTCTCCCCCAGAAGGTTTCTGGCCATCTTTCCCCACGTTCCACTGAGCAAGGAACCAGCCTGGCACTACGTAAAACAACTGGGCATCCAAAGCAGCAATCAGAGAAAGCACCTGACCGAAGCTGTGCCAGACCCCGGCTTCCACAAACTGCAGGCCTTGAAGATCAACTGAAACCCAGCGGGAAGAATGTCCCAGACACTGTGTGAGTCCTTGCCTATGAGACCTGCTCTTTTGGTAAATCCTGGGAAGTCCTTTTATTGTGCCATTGTGTGTGTGTGTGTGTGTGTGTGTGTGCGCGCGCGCACACACACACACACATGTGTATTGGTCCTGGGGCTTGAACTCATCAGGGTCTGGGCGCTGTCTCTGAGTTCCTTTTGCTCAAGGCTAGAGCTCTACCACTTTGAACCACAGCACCACTTCCAGTTTTGTGATGGTTAATTAGATAGATATAAGAATCTCACAGACTTTCCTGCCTGGGCTGGCTTCAAACCATGATCTTTAGATCTAAGCTTTCCCAATAACTGGGATTACAGGCTTGAGCCACAGCACCCGACTCTGGAATGTTTTTATTTGTAAATAATTGGAGTTTTGCACATTTGCCACTCAACTTAAGTATGCATGTCCCTCATCTACACACATACACATTTCTTTGCATGTGCCACACTCGATCTGTCACACAATCAAGTTTCTTAATATGAAACGTCTCAAATTTAAGAGAAGCAAACAGATCCCGTCTACAAAACCCTTGACCTTCTAGAGTTTTCCTGAGCTCTCAAGTTCAGATCAGTACTATGCTGGTCAGGAGATTCAGACCGAGCTCGGTGAGTGGGGATATACTGTTTTTCTCAAAATAATAGATGCCTGGAGCGCTTACCACCAAGAACCAAGAAGGAAAATGCCCTGTAGCTGAGCAGCGGCCTCCACTGCACAGAAGCAAATCCTATAACCCAGCTGGCTTGCCTGTCCTCAGCCACCAATGCCAGAGTCCTGGTGTCGCCCAGCCCCACATCCACTTGGGGTCCCTTGGTTTCCTCGACCCCCTCTGCTCTCCTCTTCCTCACACGCCTGTCCAACTCTACTCATCCTCCAAGGCCCAAATGAAGCCGTCCTTGAAGCATTTTTCCTACAGGAATCCCCTGGCCAGAAGTAAAGTGGATGCCCCACACCCACATACCCTCCCCCTCCCCGCACCCCCCGCCCCTCCTCAGTTCCTCAGAGGACCTGTTCCTCATGGAAGTGTCCTGTTTCCCTGAGGAGAATCTCAAGTGCCCAGATAGAAGGTTCTGGTTCTAGGAGGGTCTGTGCGTCCCCCATTTCTACCCAGGGCGTAATACACAGGGAAGACAGCCGCACTGAACACCATCACAGTTCCCAAACACTCAGTGCAGAATGCCACCCACAACCTCCCGAAAGGAGATGGAAGCCAATGGCTCCTAAGGGGCACAGGAGAGTCCCGGCCGAGCTGGCCCCGGGGGGCGGTGGAGCGGCTGGCGGGTCCCTGGGGAGAGCTGGGGCTGGTACACGGGGCCCGGGCCCAGGACACAAAGCTTCCTTGCTAGCATTGGGCTGCCTCCAACTCGGGGCAGCGCATCACAAGGCGGTGGATTGTTCTGCCTGGAGCACACCCCAAAGAACAAATCTCCCACATGACTGAAACAAATAAAGCCGAGCCCCACTATGTGGGGAGCATCTGTTCTACGAACTCACTCCCCACCCCCACGCCACCCCCAAACAGCCAACACAGGGGGACCCAAGGCTTTCCCAAAGGGGTCCTCCAAAGGCACACAAGCCAAGAGGAGCCCAGACGTTAAACAGCACCGAAAGACAGTCAACACAAAAGGAAGAAAACACCAGCTGAATGGAACGCCAGACACTCCCCCAAAACAAGAGTGGAAAAGAGCCAAGCGGCAAGCAAGTTGTGTTTGCAAAGTTTGTTTTTCTCACTCAGTTACTATTTACTGAACACCTACCACGGCCCAATGGATGCCGGGAAAGCAACAGGCCACAAGACCTGTCTTCCCCTTCCCCCTCCCCCCACCCCCCACCCCCCCCCAGGTGGGAACCTTCCCCTGTGAAGTGGGCAATGGAAAATGAACAGAAATCCACAAGGACTATAAAGCACGTGGGGGGGGGCTGGGTCTGAATGCGAGGAGAAGGAATCCTGCAAGATGGTGGCCCACAGTGAAAATGGTGGGTGAGGGGTAAATCCACAGCCAGAGCCCAGAGCTGGCAAACTATGCCCAGGGGCCAAACCAGCCATAGCATGCTTTGGTAAACAAAGCTTTCCTGGAACAAGGCCATATTCATTGGATAACATATTGTCTGGGGCTGCATTTGTGTGACAAGGGCACAGTTGAGTCGTTGCGACAGAGACCCTAGAGCCTGTAAGCCTACAACATTTCCAATCTTGCCTTTCCAGACGGCTTTGCAGCATTTGCTGTGTGAGGCAGCTGGAGCAGCCTCCACCAAAGTGCAGCCCTGTGGGCTGAAATCTGAAGAGCAAAGTGAAGTCTGAAAGGTGTAGGGGGCTGGGCACAGTGATGTACACCTGTAATCCCAGCTACCTACACAAGAGATGTGGATAGGAGGACTGAGGTCAAAGGCTGGCCTGGGGAGAAAAACATAAGAAATGGTTGTTTCAAAAATATTTGAAAAGCCGGACACTGGTGGCTCACGCCTGTAATCCCAGCTACTCAGGAGGCTGAGATCTGAGGATCACGGTTCAAAGCCAGACCAAGCAGGAAATTCTATGGAGACTCTTATCTCCAGTTAACCAGAAAAAAAAAAAAAAAAGCCAGAAGTGAATATGTGGCTCAGCCTGGAGCAGAAAAGCTAAGAGACAGTGCCTAGGCCCTGAGTTCAGAGCCAACACAGAGAGAGGGGGGAGAAAGGGAGAGAGGGAAGAATGAAAGGCTATAATGGAAAAGGGACAGAAAGCCAAATCATGTATGTACTCCTCCATTCCACACAGCTGACCCAGTGGAGACCAAATCATGTATGTACTCCTCCATTCCCAACAGCACCCACAGCTGACCCAGTGGAGACCAATGTCCCTCCAGCGGCCATTTGCTTTATGGGCATAGCTCCCCTTCTGTGTCTGAATCCTTCAGATCCGGCTCCCTGCAAACAGTCCCCCTCCAGTCTTCTGACCATCTCCAATCAATACTTACTATATAATCAATAGTGCTCTAGGCTAAGCCCAAGACCTTCTGCTAATCTGGCCCAGCCATGTCCTACCGCTTTCCCCCATGTGGACCGGCCTCCCCTGCACTGGCCATCCTGGGGAAATCTCCTCCACCCCATCCAGAGAGAAGGTTCCAGAAGCCACCCTGCTTAGCACCAGATGCTCCTTCAAAGGAGCAGACAGACAGTATCTTGCACACTAGAAACCAAAATTCACGAAGCAAGTCGGGACAAACTACATGAATGCTGGCTCTTCTTTCTTTGTCACTATTACCTAGAATTGCTGAACAAACAAGGTGACAAGTTTGCTTTCTGGGAGGCTCGCCGTCCCTGCTTGAGGACAGCGGCCGCACGCGCCATGTAAACCAGGCCGCTTCCCACGCAGTTGACCTCTAGTATTGGAGCAGGGGGCAAAGCGAGTCCCAAGCTATGAAGGGCACAGTGGGCTCCACATGTGGGACTCCTGACCTGAGCCTCCTTTCTTCCCAGGAAATCCCTCCCCTCCATAACCCTAGGTGGGGGGAGGGGAGGGGCGCACCCACACAAAGGCTGGAATTCCAGAACTGAGGGAAACTGAGGCAAGGGCTGCCTGACCCTCCACATCCCGCAGCAGATCCAGACAGAGGTCATGACATCTGGGTGGGGTGGGAATAGGAAGGGGGCCCTGTAAACCTCAGGAATGCCTGTGTCTCCGGGGGACTCCGGGTCCACACCCACTGGTGCCATGGGGCGGCTGTCTTAAGACGCGAGAGAGCGGGGTCTGGAAATGGTAAGCTGCTTCAGGTAACACTTCGTGTTGCCAAACGCGCGATCGCAGCACTTCAGACTGTCACTTTTTATCATGTTGGCCCATAAACTTTTCCCGTGTGGCTTCTGAAATGGCGCCCGAGTGCAAACAGAGAACAGATGGGGAGCCCGGCCCTGCCCGGTCCAATCACTGCACAGAGCACGCACGGCAGATTTCAATCGCTCGGGGAGAAAAAGCAGTCCACACCAACAGACGACCACACTGCATTTCCCAGCCCACTGCTTCTGGGGTGCCCCAGGATGCTGCCTTTCAGATGTCTAGAGGACCCCAGGTTCAATGATGCAGTGACCCCAGAACTCACTCCCAGACAGTATGCCCCCTAATTCATCAGGTTCCAACCCTTAAATGCCTTGAAGGAGACAAAGACAGAGGAGAAAGAAGACAATGAGATAGAGAGAGAGATACAGACAATAGACAGACAGACAGACAAAGACATAGAGATAGACCAAGAGAGATTTCTGAACAAATTCTTGTGGAGGAGGAGGGGAAAAGATGAGAAAGAGGCAGGGGGGGAAAGGGGGAAATGAAGGGTGTGAAAGGAGGGGAAGGAGAGAAGGAGAAGAAAAAAAGAGGGAAGGGGAAAGAAGAGAGATGAGAGGCTTGTGGAATAAGAAGGGGGTGAAGAGAGGAGAGAGGGAGGGAAGCAAAGACAGAGGGGGTGGGGAAGGCAAAAGGCAGGAGCTGGTGGACATGCCCGGAGGGGACAAGGAGGGAGCTGCAAGGTCTCCGGCTCCTGGCAGGGCTCAGGCCCTGGGCAGGACTGGGCCAGGAGCACTGAGGCGCAGGTAGTAACATGACCCCGCTTCCCAGTGCAGCCACTCTACCACAAAATCCCCACCGAGAAACCCAGGGATCAAGCTGCAGGCTGCTGTAAATTCAGGGCTC